TTAATACATGTTAGTGTGAATGGGAAGGAAAATGGTAGGGCATTATGTAATGGAGCATGAAAGGTAAAGAGTTTTTAGTTGTTTGTTTTTTGTTTAATTTAAAAAGGAAAATGACAAATTATGATACATCAAGAAAGGAGCCAGTGGACAGGGAGATGTGGGCAAGAAACAATGTGCCTGATGGGCCTAGACTATAGAGGGTTCAAAGCAGAGTTAAATGCACAGGTCTTGACTGGGAGAGGATACCTCGTCCTCTGAGGAAAAAGAGGAGGAAAAGAGTAGATTGTAGGTTGGAGGTGGCACCCAAGAAGCTGAGGGGAGTCTTGCTTAATGATTTCTAGTCCCCATTTCTTCAGTGAGATGCAAGTGCTTTGCTGAGAGAACAGAGGACTAAGGTAAGGGTCTTTGAAGATAGGAGTGAAAGTTTCAAATTGCCACTGTGGAAAATGAGAGATTTTTATCAGGGCCAGTAAGACTACTCTAAGATCCTAACTTTACTCAAACAATGATTCATAATCTCTTCCCTCTCTCCACTCATCCATTTACACATACAAATGCACATCAATTTATTCATTTATTCATTCATCTAATAAAGGTAAACACCATGTGCTTGACTCTCTGTTAGGCACTATGCATACAATAAGATATGGCTCCTTCCGTCAAGGAACTTCCATTCCAGGGAATACAAACAAGATGATTCTGCTATTGGTGATAAGTGTTAAGAAAAAGGAAATATGAAATCCTAAGGGGGCACATAAAAGGGATCACATACTTGAATTTGGGGGTCAGAAATGGCTTCCATGGAAAGTTTGAGTAAGAATCATTGTAAGCAGAAATTAGCCAGGGAAAGATGGAAACTGGGAATAATAGAGGAAAAAAATAGTATCATGTCCCAGAGACAAAAAACACAACAACGTTCATTTGAGAAAATGAAAGTAGTTAAATTTATTAGAGCAAGACTAGGGGAGGGTAGAGTTAAAGAGAAAACCATAGGCGCGAAATTGTGTAACTGTGCTGAAGCCCATGATACCAAACCTAGATTTAATATGTGACCCAATTGCTGGGTCAACCTCTCCTAGATACATAATCTTTTTTTTTAAATCTCTCCTGAGTACATGTTTATTGATTTTAGAGAGAGGGAAAGGGAGAGAGAGGGAGAGAAACATTGATGTGAGAGAGAAACATTGATTGGTTGCCTCCCATATGCACCCAGACCAGGAATTGAACCTGCAGCCTAGGCATGTGCCCTAACATGGAATCAAACCCATGACCTTTCAGTTTATGGGATGACGCTCCAATCAAGTGAGCCACACTGGCCAGGGAATCCCAGAAACAAAACCTTAATCAACAAGTCTGGAATTTTCTGGTCAATACCAATGAGGTAATCTCAATGGAAACCTAAGAGGGAACTTTCTCCATAAAAGACAGCCTCTTTGTTTTGGTGGACCACAGTTTGGATTGCTACCTGAATCTGCATCTCTCAGGTTGCAATCTTTTTTTCAAATAAATGCTGTTTAGTCTTCATTACAGCCTGAAATTATTTTTGGTTGACAGAGATTTGTACTCAGGGTTTCTACTGTATTCTCTCTCATTTGCCATGATGGCTACTGAAGGGTTTTAAAAAGAAGATAAAAATAAACAGATAACTATTTTAGAAAATTTATACCAATAGCAGTGTGGAAAATACGTAGAAAAAATAGAGCAGAAAAAGCAGTTAGGATAGGAGACTACTGTAGTAATTGGATAAGAAAAATGGTGTGCTCTGGCTGGTGTGGATCACTTGACTGGAGTGTTGCTCTGTAACCAACAGATTGCAAGTCTGATTCCCGGTAAGGGCACATGACTCAGTTGCAGGTCTAAGCACATACAGTTCTGAGTCTGGGTGCATAGTATCCCTCATCCAGGCACATATGGGAGGTAACCAACTGATGCTTCTCTCTTACATTAATGTTTGTCTCTCTCCCTTCCTCTCTCTCTAAAAAGCAATGAAAAAAAAAATATCCTTGGATGAGAAAGAGAGATGGGGGGAGAAAATATAGTATATTGATCTAGCTCAGGTGGTTTGTTCTGTTAGTGGAGATGGGTGAAATTAGATATATTTGAGAGATAGTTCTGAATAGAGAATTAATAGGACTTATTCACTGGATGTGTCAAGAGAAAGAAAGAAGTTGAGGATGACTCCTAGAATTCTTGCCTGAGCAACTAAACATATAGATACCATTTATTGAGACAGGAAATAGTTGAGGAAGAGCAGATTGTAATATTTTTTTAAAAGTCTGCAAATTTTTTGACACTCCTCCAGCCAAGAGGTAGAGTCTATGTCCCCTCCCTTTGACGACTGCCTCAATATAACAGAATGAGTCAGAAGAGTTACTTTCAAAGCTAGGGTAAAAAATATCAGGCAGCATTTGCCTATTTTTCTTGGGTTTAGTTTTACTCAATTTAGCCACCAGCCATGTGAATAATGAAGGCTTAGAGATGATTTAATACCCCACCACGATCTGGTGACTAGCACATGAGACACCTCGAGGTGCTGAGCACATTCTACCCCCACATTTGTGGGCAGAATAAATTACTGTTACTAATTTAAGTCAGGGTGTTGGGGTAGCTCATAACACAGAAATAGATACCCAGAACAAGATGATGAGTTAGATTTTGAATATGTATTTGGAAAGTCTGGGGGAAGTGTTTAAGAAGTAGTTAGAAATTCAGGTCTAGAGCTCAGGAAAGAACTTTGGGCTTTGAAATTTAAAATGTTCTTCTCAGGCTTGTCTGACTCAGATTGTGTATGCCATGATTGCAAAACAATTTCACATTCTGTATTTGATTTAATGTTAGTAATAACACCTTGAAGAAATGCAGAGCATATTATTATACCATTATAGAGTTGAGAAGGCCGAGGCTCAGGAAGCTTTTGTGACCTATAGAAGGTCGCATCTCATGGAACCCAGAGACAACACCGGTCTCATTCCTAGTACACGCTGTTTCCACTGAACTCTGCTAAGTGCTGGGGAGAGATGGAGAAGATGCCTAATAGTGAAGGGTACCCTGAAATCAGAGAACTGAAAAACTCAAGTCTGAGGAGGGATAAAACAGGAAATTTAAAAGTGCTCCTTAAATTTTTCCACAAAAGCATTTCTTACCAGGGAGAAGAGAACTACTGTACTTCCAGGAAATCTGGATGTATAGCCAAAAGGAAGTTCTTTGAAGTCATTGATCCATATAATTAACAATTACTTATTGATGCCAGCTATGTTCCAGGCACTGTGCTACGGTCAGCACTAGACATAGTTCCTGTCCTTATAGAGCTCAAGGAAACAATGAAACAAAAAATTCACCAGCAATCTGGTGCCTGATGTTTCCGGGAGGCAGTCACATGGAAATGGGAGGCTAAGAAATAGTCAGGGAGAGAGAAGAGTGCAGAAAAATCCTACGCAGAAGGAAATGCATGTACTATATAGGCCTAGCAGCAAAAGAAAGCACCTCCTTCAAGGCAAAAAAAAAGTTTAATTTAGATAAAATGTGGTTAACAGGAAGGAACTCATACATTGGGGATAAGATGACCATCTGTAAGCATAATCTATGCACAAAGAAATTCAGATACCTTGAATTTGTTTCTAGAGAAAGTCTTACAATATTCCAGTTCTCTTGAAAGATCTTTCTAAAAGTTGGATTAATACTTCATTCACATAAGCACCACTACCAAGACCATGTCAGTGTCCTATGAGTTGAATCAGCCCTAAGGAACCCATAAAGCCACATCATGTCTCTAGCCTCACACAGTCATGAACCATATCCAAAATATTGCTGCCCTGAGAAGCCTTGATGTGATCAGTAGGATTTCCTGTCAGCATTCCTACCTCATCTCCCTAAAAATTACATACTGTCATGAAGTTTATGATGCTGTATTTCTCCCCATGTTTGTTCACTTTTACTCATTTTTTCTTACAGTGGAAAACATTGAAACCCTTTACATGAAAAAAAACCCTGAGATTTATTAGGGTGGAACAGTGACAAAGGCAATAGTTGAACTCTTGCTTCTCAGCTGGCCTGGGGAAAAAAGGTACTGAAGGGTTGGGCAGCTGTAACAGGAAAAGTAAGTGTAGCTCATAAGGAGACCAGAACCAGCCCATGGGTGGAGAATGCACCTTAACTCTTAACAACCAGATACTTGGGTGTGCAGAGTACCTTTTATATTGAGGCACCTCAGGCCTCTGCTCAGACCGTTATTCAGAGAGCCTTCACAGAGCAGTCCTTTCCAACTTGTCTTTCCTACAATTTGATTTCTCTTTGGGACAATGGCAACATCATTTACCTTGGCTTAGGACAAAACACTTTGCACAGAAAGAAGTCTCAAAGAGCAGTAAAGTGTGCTTGAGCATAAAAATGCGGCAGCTATCAGTGTGGAGTTTTCTGTTATTCTAAGCAAAACAAGCCAGGGGGCGAAAGACAAATACCATATGATCTCACCTATAAGCGGAACCTAACCAACAATACAAAGATGCAAGGAAAATAAGACCAGCAACACTGAAAGGAAAAGAAATCAACAGAGATAAGAGGGAAGGGGGGGGGCAGGGAAAAGGAAGGGAAGGGGAAAGTCAAGGAACATATAGCAAGGACTCATGGACAAAACCAAAGGGGAAGAGCTGAGGGAGGGAAGAAGGGAGGGGGCAAGGGAAAGTGGTCGGGGGTAGGCAGAGACAAATGTATTTGAAAAAATAAATTAAAATAAAATTTAAAAAAAAAAAGCAAAGAATACTTCACAGACCACAGATCATGGGACTAAATATGAGGGGCCTACTTCCTCAATTCCCCATGGTCAAGTTTTTGTCACATAGCATTGAGAAAAGACATAGAACAAAACACTCCAAGCCTAAGAAAACCTCCCCAACTCATCACTGCCCTGCTCCCAGGATGGAAGTATCTATGGCCTGGAGGCCATACATTACTTCCAGAGTTGTGCCTTCAGTGCACAATCACAGACAGTTTACGGAAAATACCTTGAACGCCGGTCTCCAAGAAACAATGAAGAAGCAGTAGAAGTTCCAGAGCCACACACAACTTCAGCCCCTTGGAGCATATTCCAGAGCTTCCCAGGAACACTAAGGCTGGGCAAGAACCAGACTGAAAATAGACTGAGGGCTTCATTGCTCTCTGTTTCATGGATGCGGGCAAGCCCCAGATCTTCCTCTCAGCCCAGCAGCCTGTGGGTAGAGACAGAAACAGGAAGTCTTTTTTTTTTTGTTGTTTTGTTTTCTGGGGTTTTTTTTTTTTTTTTTTTGGAGATCAACTGAGTCAATATTTTATAGATTACTTTTTTTTTGAGTAATTTTATATTGTTTTTTTCCCCATTTTTTAAACATTTAATTATTTTTTTTTTAATTTTTCAAATACATTTGTCTCCATTTACCTGCCACCACTTTCCCCTGCCCCAGTCATCCCCACATCCCCCCCTCAATCTTTCACCACCTTGGCTTCATCCATATGTCCTTCACATCTGTTACTTGATCTGACCCTTCCCGTTCCCCTCCCCACAACTCTTATAGGAAGTCTTATAGATGTTTAAAAATAGACTATTTTTTTAGAGAATCTTTGTATTTTCCTCTCAATTTTTCTGAAAAAAATTGAGCACCACTACCAAGGCCATGTCAGTGTCCTATGAGTTGAATCAGCCCTGACCCCCACATGCATACCCTCCCCCATTATCAACATCCCTAGCCAAAGTGGTACATTTTTTACAGTTAATGAACCCACATTGAGTCATCATTATTACCCAAAGTCCAAAGTTTTGGGTTTTTTTTTAAGTTTTAAAGCTTTTCTTTATTCCATCTCTTGTGCCAGAGGAAGTTTGACAGACTCTTCTGCTTGGGATAATAAAAGGACATTCGATCCCAGTGAGTCTCACCTTATTTGGAATGTGACATGACAGGGTCCTACCGAATGTCATATACATAGAGAAGCAGGTTGTTGCTAAAGTGCCTGAGGGCTCCGAACTCCTGCCTAGCTGGGCAGACCACAGAGCGTCAGTAAAGCCAGCCTCTCCTCCACAGGGCTTCATGACTCAGAACACCGCCAAGCAGAATGAGCACTGTCTTAAGAACTTTGACCTCACTGAATACCTCCAGGTGCTATCTACCAGCAGCTCATAAAAATGGCCGAGGGTGTGTTGCAGCCTATGATAGGTAAGCGGGCAGCAGGAGCTCTCCAGCACTCACCATGGGGTATGAAGTGAGGAGCAGCCCTGCTCACCTTCAGGGAACAGGGCATGTCAGGTGCAGCCTCCAGAAAGCCAGGGCCTCCCCAGGAAAGGCCAATGAGGCGGCGCAGGCTGTGTACTCAAGAGCAGCTATGAAATTTTCAACATCATCCCATCAAAATACATAGTGTTTGGGTGGTGAGAATATAGATCATTTTCCTTTCTTTTTCTGTAGTATATTATTTTTCCCAAAACAAACGAATTTCTATAGGTAATAAATTCAAAAAGTATAAATAATAGACACTAAAAAATATATAATCCTCTTGCTCACATAGATACTTAATTCATGGTAAAATGAAAGCACTGAGCGCGCTCACGCGCAGGAAGATAGCAGTGAGAGCCTGCGCAGTAAATGCTGCTGCATGGCCAGCGCAGATGCACACTCGCTCCGTCCAGGACAGTGCGCTTGGGCACTGAACATGAAACCAGAATTGAAGGATAAGAGCAGTTCTTTCCCAAGGTAAAAGAAAAATTACACTCACTGTCCCAGGCAGGCTGGGGCGGAGGTGCTTTCCCCAGCTTCTGACCACACAAGTAGGTTAGAAATGAATTCCAAGTAGGACCGAGAGCCATTCATACCATGCAGAAATATATCCTTGGGATAAGGTTCATTCTAAAGCCTTCCTCCTGTCTGGAAATCTTGTGAGGCACCAGATTACTCTTACCTGACACAGGGCGAACTGGAATACTTCATGAACTTCATTAAGCTTCACAGTTGGCTTTGTACATTCTACAGATTTGAACAAAGCTGTAGTGACATGTACCCACTCTTATAGTACCACAACAGAGTAGTTCCACTGCACTAAAAATCTATGCTCCTCCTTTTCATCCCTCTTTCCCTAAACCTCTAGCAACTCCTGATCTTTTTACTGTCTTCATAGTTCTTATTTTTCCAGAATTTCATATAATTGGAATTATGTACTATGTAGTCTTTCAAATATGTTTCTTTTCTTTCATCCTTCTCCCTCTTCCCCACCCTGTCCTCTGTCTTTTATTTTTAAAAAAAGTTTTTAATTTATTGGGGTGACATTTATTAATGGGATTATATAGGTTTCAAGTATACATTTCTCTTTTTCCCCCCTAACCCATGGTTTTTAATGAAAACAAAAGTACAAATGTCAGCATGATAATAAAGAGCAATTGGATCTTCAGATGTTTGTCAGTACTGGCCTTAAATTTCTACTAAAACACATAAACTATATAATCTTTAGGATATCTAGATATCACAGATGATGAAAAATTTTACACGTTCAAAAATATCAGCCAGTTGACTGCAAAAATCAGAAAGTATACATCCTATGACTCTTGGATGTTTATTATCACTCTGTCCTACTCTATTATTGTCAGGTATGATTCATGAAATATTTGGAACATATTTATACAAAAATTATATCCAGTTTGTATCTAAAAATTCAAATTTAACTTGGTGTCCAGCACTTTTATTTACCAAGTCTGGCAACTCTATAATACCAGGATGCAGAGCTATTGAGAGTAAAAACCATTCTCGAATTTTATTTTGTAATCACTCATAAGTGGTGAGGGGAAAATGGAGACAACTGTAATTGAACAACAATAAAATTTTTTAAAATAAATGCAATAAAAACAAAATACCATTTCTAAAAAAAGAAAAAATGTCAATGGCTTTTTTCCCCATTTTCTTTGGCAAAGGCATAGACGATGCCTGTGTTATTCCTTCTTGGTTTTCTCAAAACTCTCCACACTCTAAATTCAACAACCCCTAATGCTGAAAACCTCTAGGTCATTTTTTTTCCAATGGGTTTATTTCAGATTTGAACTACCGTTCAAGTATTTTCTTTAGCTTTACCCCAAAATTCAATGATTCTCAGATCTAGGCTTTCCAATAGAGAAAGTATGGCATGCTAATTTGAGAAAAGAATTGCTGAAGACCCTGGTAATCCTACCCCAGCAGAAATTAAATGTCTTCTTCACCAGTGTTCAGGGAAGCTGAAGAAGTAGCATGATCACAGGGGGGTTTTTTGGTTTTGTTTTTTGTTTTTAATTTTTAAATCATGTTTATGCTGTTACAGTTGTCTCAGTTTTTCCCCCTGAAGTGTATATTTCTATGTTACTAGATCTAGGTATAGCACTGTGTGCTCACCACCTATAGTCATACCATCTTCTGTCAACCATACGTTAGGCCACTCCCCACCCACTTCCCTCTGAAAACCACCACATTGCTGTCTGTGTCCATGAGCTTCAGTTTTTTATATACCACATATTAGTGAAATCATACAGTTCTTAGCTTTTTCTAACTGACTTATTACACTTAGCATATAGTTTCAAGATCCATCCATGTTGTCACAAATGGCAGTATTTTGTCTTTTCTCATGACTGAATAGTATTCCATTGTGTGTATGTGCCACATCTTCTTTATTCAGTCCTCTATTGCAGGACACTTTGGTTGTGTCCATGAATAATGCTGCAATGAACATAGCAGTGTGTATATCTTTGCAAATGCACGTTTTAGAGTTTTTGGGGGTAGATAGCCAAGAGAAGGCTTACTGGTTCATATGACAACTCTATTCTTAACTTTTTGAAGAACTAACAAACCACTTTCCCTAGTGGCTGTACCAGTCTACATTCCCACCAGCAGTGAATGAAAGCACCCTTTTCTCCACAACCTCTCCAACATTTGTTATCATTTGTCTTGTTGATAATAGCCATTCTAACAGGTGTGATATGTACCTCATGGTAGTTTTGGTTTACATTTCCCAAAGAGCTACTGAGGTTGAACATATTTTCATATATCTGTTGGCCATTCTTATGTCTTCTTGGCAGAGGCATCTGTGAAGGCCCTCTACCTATTTTTCAACTGGAGTATTTGTTTGGTGTTGAGTTCTTTATATATTCTGGATATTAAACCTTTGTTGGAGATGTGGTTTGCAAATATCATTTCCCATTCAGCCAGTTGCCTCTTTGTTTTGTTGTGAGTTTGTTTAGCTGTGCAGAAGTTTTTAGTTTTATATATTCCCATTTATTAATTTTTACCTTTAATTCCCTTGCCTCTGGGGTCAAATTCATAAGCTGCTCTCCATGACCAAGGTCCATAAGTTTAGTACCTATGTTTTCTTTTATGTAATTTATTGTTTCAGATCTTATATTTAGGTCTTTGATCCATTTTGAATTAATTTTGGTATATGGGGACAGATAGTAGTCTAGTTTCATTCTTTTGCATGTAGCTTTCCAATTTTATCAATTATTGAAGAGGTTTTCTTTTCTTCATTGTGTGTTAACCTCCACCTATTTGTGGGTTTCTTTGTTTTCTTTATGCAGTTCTAATTTCAAGGTATTGTGGTCAAAGGATATGCTTCATATAATTTTAAGTTTATTGAATTTGTTGAGGCTAATTTTGTGACCCAACATTTTGTGACCCAGATTTTGGATTGCTTTTGTTCCTTTTTTATATCTTTAGGATGTTAGGTTTGTTAGGTTGTTTACTTGAGATTTCTCTTGTTTCTTGATGGTCAAAAATTATCTTTGCAAACATGTATGATTTTATATCTGGTCTCTCAATTTTGTTCCATTGATTTGTGTGTCTGCTTTTCTCCCAATATCATGCTGCTTTGATTATTGTTTCTCTGTAGTATAATTTGAAGTCAGGTAGTGTGATACCTACAGCTTCATTCTTTTTTCTCAGAATTGCTTTGGCTATTTGGGGTCTTTTGTGGTTCCATATAACTCTGGTGATTTTTTGTTCTATTTTTTAAAAAAATAACATTAGGATATGGGTGGGGATTGCTTTGGGTAGTATGGCCATTTTAATTACGCTGATTCTTCCAATCTATAAACATGGAATATCTTTATATTTCATAGTATTTTATACAATCTCTTTTAATAATACTTTGTAGTTTTCAGTATATAGGTCTTTCACATACTTTGTTAAGTTTATTACAAGATATTGTATTCTTTT